ATTGTGTTAGCGTTTTGGTCTACTTTTAAGGTTAGTGTAACGATTAACTTTATGTTTAGAATATTGCTGCTGGCGTGTCCTGCCAGCCTGGTTCTTTGCTGGGATACTACGCTTTCTTCATTCAAACGACATTTGTCGCCAAACGTCGTGTTGGCCTTTTCCGCTTTATCTTCGACTTCTTTCCCACCGAGAACTTCAGTATCCTCCTTCGGTTTTCCTTCCTTTCAATGTCCTCCATTGCGCTTACCCTCGGGACTAGGACGGTGTAAGCGATCCTTGCCATATTTAATGTCAAATTTTAATTTTTGTAACTGCCCTGGTCGAAACTTGTCGTTAATGCATCTTTTACCGCATATGCTGACTGTCGTCAATTAAACAAAATCTTCTCAATTAAAATGCCCTGTAGACGTATGGTTGACGTGCCTCTGGCGCATATGGTAGACGAACGCTGAACATGTGACATCCTCCAACTTTCGTAATGACATTTGTATCCAATTCGGTTCCAGCGTTCGCTAAAATCAAAAATTTTAAAAGTGCCCATTTATTCAGCTTAATTTTTTCAGTTTTGTGAATTCGAATATTTTCAAACAAATGGTGTCAGAAAGAACAGTAGTGGCGAGAACAAAGTGATCATTTTGAGGAGATATTTTGATGGAAATAGTTTACCATGAACACAAGCAGATAATCCATGATGTGCTCTGATATAAAATACTGGACGGTCCACCTTCCAGAGACTGGCGTGCAGTTAAGCAAACAAAAATACGTCTGGTGATGCCTGAGATGTATTACAAGTATTTCCAGACTTCGTCTTGTAATTAAATTCATGAAAGACCAGACTTTATGACATTCGAGTGCCACTTCAACACATTTGCCTGATGTCTGAGTTCTTTGGACTCCCAAACTAATCACTGCAGGAAATGGCACTTTTAGACCTAAACGCACTTTCAGACAACTAGTCATTGTCGTGGCATTTATACCATTATAAAGTACGCTTTACATCCTTCACACTCATTGCAGTAGCAATGGGACTGGCCCAACATGGTCATTTTATTGTTTTTGTCACAACCCTATCTTAGGCGTACAGGAATAAGTAAAGGACAGTCGACTTTATCTGTACAAATCAGGGCTAAGTAATGGATGTCAACCGATGTTAGCGCGTCCGCATAAAACTGAACTAATATGCAGTGCTTACGCAGAGTTGTCTTTTGCTAGATTCTGCAGAATTATTAAAATGAGGAAACCAGACCTGGCCATTAATAAATCGAGATTCGAGTATGTTACTGTTTAAGGAAATGTAAGCCGGATTTAAAACTTAGCAATTCAACTAAGTTGGTTGTATTTAGATACAAAAATATAAAACGATGCCCAATGTAATTACCCGTCAGTGGAAGCAAAACGATTAGGCCCAAAATCAGCAGCATCTTGCTTGGTGTGGGTGGGTTTTGTGCAGCACGTTTATATATTCTTCGCTGCTTACTTTTCAAGGACAATCACTTTCATATGCGCAGCGTGAACGTCCCTTCGCTCCACGCTTGGAGGTTTTGACTCTTTCAACCTGTACTGCTATCACGGCCCACAACAGTATTAAAAAAACCAATCAAAAGGACGTGTGGGAGTTCTTCTTCATCCGCCCTAAGCCGCTCCGGCTTAGGATCAGTAGATTTGACGCGACGCATAAAACCATTTGTCATCCGACTGTAGAGAGGACATGGCGTACCTAAGATTTGTTTGATGTAATTTACATGCCTCGACTGATGGTGCGTGATTCGAAATTTCAAATTTCAGGTAGCGCAGATTCAGACCTAGTTCTGTGTTGTGCTTGTAGGTTGATGAAAATGGAGTCCTCAGCTGGTGCACTAAACCTTGAGCTCAACAAGGGTGATGTCTACGCTTGTTGCCAAACCATGTTTAAGCCAATCTCCTTATTCTGTCTTCTGTGATGAACGACGTTCCGATAAAAAATAACTCCTACCGGGTTCTATTCGTACCAAAATAACACTAGTTACAGTGGGTGACCTAACTCATTAAATGTGTTGAAAGTGACTAATGGTCACTAATCACTCGCAAACAGACACAAATCTGTGGACCCAACGTCGATATTAATAAAGCGCAAATTGAGGAGAACTCAAAGCATAAAATAAATAATAGAGGTAATTTTGCTTTATTAAGAAATGCCATTTTTTTTAAGAAAACCGCAAAATCCCGAAACCGTCAAAAATGGATGTAATTTATTAAACGTCATTTTTAAATTTTCGAAACGTCCGCCCGTGGAAAAAGACTAAGTGCATATGAAATACCAAATAAAATAACAGTCAACAGCCTGCATTTTGAGTGTAGATTCCAAAACAGTTTCCAGATGATTCGTGATGTCCTTTAGTTTTTTTGAATAAATTGAGTTGAGGAACAATAAGAAAAGCAAGATATCGCTTGAGTTCGCCGACAGGGAACAAACGTTTTCATAAGATCACATGTTGCAGGGTCGAGAGATGCCAAATAATTTTAAATAGAATTGACACGTGTAATCATAAGCATACCATTTTGTGTTTATCAAAAGAACATTTCTTCCGTTGAAGTTATTTACACTTTTCGTTCGCTCAGGATTACGTTGAGTTTCAAATCGGCCTTGAATTATCAATCAATATTTCCTCATTATCAGTATTTACATACGATCGCAATAAGGACAGATTCTGTATTATGTGTCTTTTAAACATTTTAAAATAAGATACTTCTTGGAGGCATACACTAAATAAACGTGAGTTCGGGCCTTCTTTTTCATTTAGAACGTCATCTGTATCACATCTGAAGACTCAAGTAAACACGAACCCTCATCGTCGAATAAAACTGACGTCCACAACGAAAGGCAACAACGAATGTGCCTTAGATCATTTAGAAGACTCTCTTATAAATTACCTCTATAAGGAGAGCTTTTATACTGCACTCCATTGACGGATGTCTGAGTACTTTAATTTTTGCAGACTGTGACCAAGAAACGAATTTGACACTTTCGGCTGTTTCATGCACTTTGCCAAAAGATACTCATATATTTCGCCTATAAACTTAAGAACATGCCATTTTCTTTATATTGCGGCTATTTCAATCGTTTTGCTCAAATTTAGGCTCTTTTCTACGATTATGAATGCACCACAGAGTGGCCATATATACACTGATATTTTACCGAAGATTTTAACGTGTTGCTCGTTTCATTTCAGAATTGGGTGTGTGCGGAAGCTTGACTGCACAAAACGTAATATTCGATATGCTCGAAGCTGAAAACGACAGTTCGGTGATTGTCGTTCCTGTGAAAACACGTAGAAATTTCCAGAGGTAAAACAATTTTAGTCCATTCAAATGAAGGATTGCCTGTATGCATTATTACAGCACTTTAGGGCACAAAGTCGTACAGATCAGTTAATCTGAATTTTATAAATCGATAAAACATCTGGTTTTCTTAAAATAACCTTTGTTTTAGGAAGTTGAACACCATGGTTATCATCGGACAAAAAATTGATTTTAAAGTCCGGCAACCTCTGCTTATTAAAACTTACTGGAGTAAATTACTCTCCCTCCAAAGAAAACCCGCTCAAATAGGCAACCGAAGTCCAGAACAGGTATTAGCATAGGAAATTGCCCGAGTATGCCGCGACGTCCATTTTCGACCGAATTTATGAAAATTTTGCTTGAAAAAATTACGTGGGCACAATTTCTCTACAAGATGATGACACTTCCTAGAGGCTGAGTGGGCAAGCAATACGCGCAACGTTTAAGGCGTCCTGAATTCTCATATCAGATTCTGTCACCGGATTTCATGAGATAGGTCATGTACTGTAGTAATGTAGCGTTTTACTGGAGTCCCAGTCTCTGTGTTCGCCGAATCCAGAGCGTGGACCTGTCCAATCAAATCGCGCCCGTGTGTTCCATTCTCCGAACATTTTGTGAGCTCCTCACCGCCTTACGGGAGAATATGAACACATATCTTCCGACATAAATTATGCTACTGAAGACGCATTTTGCACTATGTGGGAGAAAAACACTTCTTTGCACACGGAAACCTCGGTATTTCTAATAAAAAATGTGCGCACTCACAGCATTAACAGGACTAATGTTTATTACAATATGAAGACGTGATAAAAGCGTCACTCTGAAAAACGACCACGTAAGGAGATATATTGGCCCTCCCCTGAAAGTTTAGTCAGGCCAAAATAGGTCGTTCTCAATGCGACCCTTATGTTATTGTTCCTTGCATAAATAGGGGCTCACTATCTGGAGACTAGCAGATGCGAATTTAGACACTAGGTCATGTGAGATATGCCTAAACAGATTATGGAAGTTAGATTGACTTATGCAGTCCCCCAAATAGGAAATGGGAATAGGAACGGTCCGTCCAGGCAGTGAGGGGCGAACCGGCGCCCAATATCGGGGAGTACAAATGACGAGGTTTGGTTTTGCAGCCCTACTTAACTGATAGTCTATAGTTCATTTTCAAAAACTATTTGAGTAGACGCGAGTACGCTGAGTTTACAAATATCACGTGTTTGCGCCTTTCATATCAGTTTGATCCAGCGAGTAATTGTGCAAAGGGGGGGATTGCTTATACGTACAAGGGCGTTCGAGTCCACGCTGTTTCGCGAACTCACATCCCTTCTCGGTACCAACCGAATCCGAACAACAGCGTACCACCCTCAAGCAAATGGTCTCGTCGAACGCTTCCATCGACAGCTCAAGACTTCCCTTATGGCCCCGCCCGATC